TCTTTCCATTATACCAAACCTTAAATGAGAGCCAGAAAACTTGTTTGCCCACCAAACACATTTTTTTACTGCATGAGCACTTTGTACCACCTTGCCAATGTGAATTACCTTGCACTTCATAAAGTGCTTCTCAGGCACTCACTACAACCCTTTGAAAGGTGTACAGCTTTTTTTTTAGATGGAAAAGGCAAGGCTGAGCCACAGTTACTTGCTCATCAATGGTTACGGGCTTAGAAACCCATGGCATGAGTGGGGATTTGAACCTGGGTCTTCCAGATACAAGTCTGACACTCTTAACCACTCCACCATGCTGGCTTCCCTTGCTTACAGGCAGATGAATCAGTCCAGAAGAGCACTACTGAAAGTATGGGAAGAAATTAAAAGACTTTTTTATATTAAAATACCCAGATGGGTTTCACCACATGAAGCTTTTATAAATCCAAATTTATTTCAAAAAAACTTATTGTATAGGTATGAAGATTTGCTGGATAATAAAACCAACTAAAGACAGTAGAGAACCTGAAAAAACAAGATATAGATCTGAACTGGCGGGAAAGAGCAAATTTAGAATCAAGATTCTTTAAAGATAAACAAATGGGTTTTTATGAAAAGCCAACTGAAATAGATAAACTATTAATCTATACTGATGATAAGCTTATTAAGAAAATGTATGATATAATGTTAGAAATTAAAACCCAAGATGAAGTGGTTAAATGCTCTATGGTTAAATGGGCTCAAAATTTGGGGCATAATACTGATCTAGATCAATGGTCTAAGGTATGGAAAACAAACATAAAAATTACTAAAGCAATTTCTTATAAAGAAAACATTTATAAAATGTTCTATAGATGGTATATTGTGCCAGATAAGCTATCCAAGTTTTATCCTAATATGTCAAATGATTGTTGGAAATGTAAAAAAAAATGTTGGTTCTTTTTTTCATATGTAGTGGACTTGTGATAAAAGTAAAAAAATTCTGGGCTTGGATACATGAAATATTGCAATTTTTTTAAAAAAAACAACATACCCTTTGTATGTTTGTTGAATATACTTCCAGAAAATTGTAAAAAGCAAGGCTCTTATCTTATTTTACATGTAGTTACAACTGCGAGAATATTATATGCTAAATATTGGAGAAGAAAGGAGACACCTTCCAAAGAAGAAATAATAATCAAACCACTTGTAACTGCTGAAATGGATAAATTAACGCTAATTCTGAAAGGACATAAAGAGGAAAATTTTGAAAATACTTGGTCAAGACTTTACAGATGGATTGAAGAATACATTAAATGAAGCCTGAACATAACCGAAATAGTGGACAATGAGAGTATCTATAATAAAATGTGCAAAAGTTATATATAACACTATAAGATGTAGAAATATACTTTTACTGAGAGATGTATGGATAATCTAACAGATAATTCAAAGAGTTGGAGAGATTCTCCCATTGTATGTTTGTATGTATTATTGTTTGGTTTTGTTTGTTTGTTATAAAAATAAAAATTATTTACAGACTTATGCTTCAAGTGATGTTTATTTAAACAGTGAACCTATTTATGATACAGACCAGATCAAACGTCAGACCAATCACCATAAAGTAGCAACATACCTTGAAATATTCTCTTCTGATTTGCTTGCTCCGTCTCCTCTCCTCATTCTGCCAGATAACTGGCTGAGTGTCTGGCCAGTGCTGCTCATCTGACTGGTCCTTCTGATTTTCCAGTGACTGTAAAGGGTGGAAAATAATGTCACCTTACAACACCAAGTCAGTACGTTGATTTTCTAAGTAAGAGGAGATCAGTTGAGAATTTATTATGTGTAACAAAATCCTAAAGGTACTCTACCGGGATGAGCCCTAACCCAGGCAAAAGTCAAGCCCAGCAAAAGTCGAGCCCTAAGAGCCCTAAGAGGAATACTGCATGCTTGCACATCATCACATTACCTGCCAAGTGTAGGGGGATGATGGAGAATTTGCTTCATCTGCTGAAAGGCTGCATGAAAAAAGCAAATCATAATTGTTTCTTGTACTGAATGTTATCCTCCTTTACACAAGTTTCTGATGTCAAGACAGACAGCTTACAGTTAGACAGAGCAGAACCTGAAATATTTCATTATAGCTATATGGACTAGAAACAAATGGGTCACATGCATGGCAAAAAAAGGAGAAAAACATAGATGAGGTGAGCTGGGCACAAGTGACCCCACTCCCAGAAATCATTTTTTGTAATACTCAAAGAATACAGCAGCATAGAACAGTCCTGATATTTTGGTTGTTTAAAGATAAAAAACTGTAGTGTCATACTGTAATTGCAACCAACAAAAGCCTCCAGTAAAGAATTCCAGAACTGTACTCCAAAAGAAGAAATATCTTTGTAGTAGAAGGATTGCATTCATACCACTGCTTGACTTTAGATAGCCAAAACATCCGTAAATGTTTTTGGCAGTACCCAAAACTGTCAGTTTTAATGAATAAAACACAGAGGCTAGTTGTTTTCTCAAGTACAGAGAACTAAAAAGCCTTGGTTCTATTACTGGCTTCCACACATTATGCAAACAGGAGTTCAGCTTTTAACACTGACTACAGAAGATGTTACTATGCCACAACTAAACTCAATACTTCTGGAAGGCTCTGAACATCCATCTTTCAAAGGGCTATTTCTTTAAAGTATGCCTGTGCCTTTATTCTCTTCCATCAAAATATTCTTGAAACTCTTGTACAAGTAGTTTTAAGAGGGTAGCCATCTTGGTCTGCAGCAGAAGAGCTAGATATATGATCAGTAGCACCTTAAACATCAACAAGGTTTTCAGAGTATAAGCTTTCGAGAATCAAAGGTCTCAACTAGGGGTGTGCAAAAAAAATTAAACAATATTCCTGAATCCTAATATTGAACAATATTCCTGAATCCTAATACCAGTATGGTATTAGGATTCATTAAATATTTGGGAAACCCAATTTTTTTCGGCTCCATTATACCTTTGGGGATCATTATAGTCAATAGTCCCCATGGGGTATAACGGAGAAATGATCCAGGGATATCTGGGGCGGGGGGGACTGTTTGAGGTACAGGCACTAAATCTGCAGCATAGCTGCTGGTACCTCTCCTCACACACCCCCCCCCAGTTTTGAAAAGACTGGACCAGGGGGTCCGATTCTATGGGCCCCCAAAGGCAGTGCCCCATTCTCCGTTATTTCTGTTATCCAAAGTTTCAGACAGCTTTCAAGAAATCATAATTCTATAATTCTCCACCTTGCTATGATACGCAGGTTCACCCCAAATTACTTGAATGCAAATACCTTTTTTCGGATTCCGCAGTCTGTTTTGGTCTGTTTCTTGTGCTTACAGATGTGGAGTGATTCAAAAGTCTAAAACCAAGACAGACACACTTGAAACAACAATGTGTGCTGAAGTGACTTATTTTAAACAGCATTTTGTATTGTTTCTTTTACTGAAGCTCCAAGCAGAGTTTCTGCTTTTCTCAAAACATTACATCCTTTACTTTTCTTTTTGTGCTAAGCATCTTGGGAAAACCAACAAGTTACCTTAATGCCATACCTATTGTTCTTTATCTATCTGAAGCCCAATGCTCTCAGGCTAGATATCAAAGATGGAAGGAGTATGAATTACCATGAAGCATTCCAACTGGGCAGAAGAGTGAGAATGATAGTAGGGAACAAAAGGGTGTTGTGAATGGACAGGAGCAATGAAGAAGATTCAGAGCAAGAAAGGCAGAAAGAAAGGAATAAGAAAGGAGGCGGCAAGTTATTACTCTGAGTATGTATTCTGTCCTACTACAAAAAACCAAGGACAGATACAACAGCCTACATCACAGAAGTAGCCATGCTTCTGATCTAGCAGTTGAGAGATGCAGCATGTGGGCCATGGCATGTTTGATTCTTAAACATGCAAGTATACAGAAATCCCTAAGGAGGCTGGCATGCTGTACTGGAGAGAAGTATAAAACATTTCCAGTGGGAAACTTATTACTGAGGCCACTTGTAGGTGCTCTCTGGCATGGGGTAAAAAAACTGTCTTGCAGAGTTTATGTTGATGCCTATATCTGTGTATGAAGGGTCCACATTCATTGCCTACCACCTGGGGGACTCCCACATAAAGTGTGCCCTCAAAATAAGTCAATAATACTGGAATTAACTCCCCTATTTCAAATGCATCCTCACCAGCACAATAATAAATACTTTGTCCACTGTGCTGCTATGGGAAATTCATGCGCCATAAACACCAAATACCTTGATGCGCGTCCTGCAGCCCTTGTCCTCTGGAAGAGCTTTTCACTGAATGAAGTTCTATAGCTTAAAGGCCTCCGCCTGAACCCGAAGATGGAAGAAGGAAGCGATAAAGATTGACAGGAGAGGACAGGGAAGTAATTAGTATAGTAAGCAGAAAGGAATAAGAGGATAGTTTTTACAGGGTTAAAAAGATAAACATGCTTAATGGTCAGAGTTATGGTTTATATTTTTGAGGATGCAAATTTTTTTTAGAGGACTGAGTGGTCAAGACCTTTACAAATGCACTGAAAATATTTAGATTCCAACATATAGCTTTTCAGATTCTCATTCTTATTTCCTCTACAAAGAACACAGTACAGTTAAGTACTGACAAATCCACCTGTTGATATTCAAAGCGCAAAACACAGTTCTTTTACATTCTACCAAAGTCTGAGTTTCTTCAGATTTCAGATGCAGAGAAGCAAGAAAATGCACGGATGTTTCCTGTAACCAAACCTCATAAAGGGTCTGATTGCATTTCTTTATCTTCTCTGCACACACAAATTATATTTTAGTGGGTGCCTAGAATTCTTTTTAAAAAGGCAGCCAGGCCACACACAGAGATATTCACCCCTTGTTGCAACCACAGTTTAAATACCTGTTCTTCTGCTCCTGCTGCAACAGCTGAGCAGCTATTTTCCTTAGGTCAGTCACTTCCTTCAATTCATCATCTTCCTCTGCCAACAACTGTTCTCTCTGACTCCTAAAAAAGCAAAATGGGAAGATGTTCGATGCACATAAATGTCAGGACAATGGTTGGAGAAGTACCAGAAAAAACAAAAGATCTCACCTAAAGCCACTCATGGTCCCCACCCCAGTTGGTCAACAGCCCTCCTAGAATTCCCAAAAAAAGATATCCTAGGACGGCTAGGGACTCACCTTTTCTCATCCCCCCAATCTTCATTTCGTTCCGTTTTTTTTGACTTCTCAGCCTGCTTTACGCGCTCCTTAGAAATGAAAAAAAAATTACAGGAAGCCTTACTAAAAGGAAATACTACATAGACAATATATTTGAAGTATATTACCAAGTTACCTTAATATAACAGACTGCTGGTCCAGTTTGTATACCTCCTTGGTCACAAGAGGCCACATCCTCAGAGGTGGGATCAAGGTAATCACACACATCTGGGTCTAGTGGTACAGCATGAGGATAGCAGAGAGAGAAGGAGAAATATTTCATTACATATGAAATATACTCAGCCATCAAAATTTGGGTAGAAAACATTTATTTAACACCGTCTCACAACCACCTTCTCCAGTAATAACAACTCATTCTGTTTTGAAAGTTAACTGGGATCAGGACAGAACTGTTGAGAAGCAAACAGGAATTCACTATAATAATTATCCTGTGTTCAAAGACCTACACTGAATTCCACTTCAGTTTCTGGTGCCACTCTAAATACAAGCTGTAACCTGGAAAGCCTTTCACAGCCTACACCAAGGTATCTGAAGGACACCATCTCCTCCTATATGAAGCTGCCAATAACCAGTTCATCATTGGTGCTCCAGTTCCCAAAGTTAGGCTCACGGTACCATGTCTTTGGGATGCCTCCCCCCCAAGATTGTTGGCCAGCTCCTACACAGTCATTTAGGTACCACGGCACAGCTCTTTTTTCTGTCTTAGGCCTTTGATTATTTTCCTTGTTTCTGTACAGGCTGCTACTGTTGTTTAGTACTGTAGGTGTTCCTTGATTTTGTCTTTGAGCATTAATGGGGATGTGAGATATAATCCTAACAGCAAACAATAGTGTAGTGCCTATAGAAGCTGGAGTTACAGTCCTCTGTTGTTTTATACGTGTTATAAGGCCTGTATAATTTTACTCCCTTGTCATCAAGCATGTGGGCAAGACAATGGCTGAGCAGTCATGGGGGTGCCAGCAATCCCATACAGCGCCTCACAAAAGAACTGTGGGTTCCCAAAAGAAAGCATTTCCCTGCATTCTAGAGGGCTAGGGAATAACATTTACCTTTTTGCAATTCAGGTTTATTTCCTAGCAACTGATTGTCATTTCTGAGTGTCTGCTCCCTGGTCGATTCCGATACCTGAGAGTGAAGGCTGATTGTGTCGTCATCGGATGGCTAAAAAGAGCAGTTTTAGAACATAATCTGCATATTCCATATATTCCATTATCCACCAGCTAAAACCTGCATCATAAAATAATCTTCACAAAAGAATGCTAATGTCTATTACATTATTCCAAAATTTCAGCATGGTAGTTTTGGTTGGCTGAACCAACCTTTACATACAATATTTCTCAGACAATGAAACAAGTTGCTAACAATACATTTTAATAGGTCATTCAATAGACGAATCAAGGATCTCTTTTAAATTCTAACAAACAAATGCCAAAGGATCAGGGGTCATTTCCTGCAGGAGCGCACAGGAGCGGAGCTCCGGCAGTAAAGAGCCCGGGGGGGCACATGCAACAAACCCCACCCACTGCTTCCAGCAGCCCCAGGGCACAAGGAGCAAGAAGCAATCAGGTAAGTTGCAGAGCCCCCCCCCCCCAGCTAGCAGTCCAAAACAGTCCAGTGGCACCGTTAAGGCCAAGGTTTATTCAGGTACAAGCTCTCCCTCCTCTGTGAGGGCAGATCTGCGCATTCCCCCCCCCCCATAGCTAGCAATCCAAAAGAGTCCAATGGAGCCTGAGCGGTGGGTGTTGCCTTCTGACACACTTCCAGTGCTGTCAGGGGGTGTGTCATATGCAAATAAGATATGCTAATGAGCTCCTGCACCTCTTTTTCTATGAAATGACCCCTGCAAAGGATACATAAAAGCTAGCAACAATCAAACAGAAACACAGCACAACATAAAATAGCAACAAACTGGGCTGATACATGTATAAATAAGTTGTCCCCAGTCTTTTTGGTATGGTGACCCTCACAGGTTCAGATTTACTCGATATGAGGAACCAAACAGATTCACAAATCATTAAAACTGTAAATGCCTGAGATCAACTTTCACAGATTTCACAACCCAATTTTGGGTCAGGACCCAAAGGTTAAGAAACGCAGGTATGAATTGAATCAATCTTTACTGGTAAAATATGGACTCAGTGTCAGATTAGCTACCTGAATTACTGTTTATCTTGCATGAACAAAAGCTTAATAGTAATCTGTAATATCACTCTAAATATAGAGCAAAAAAGACACATTGTTATTGCTGTGCTTTATACTTCAAAAAGTGCTGCAAAGATTTAGTTTAAGGAATTAAAATGAAACAACTGAGAAATTACTTCTTCTCTTCCTACTGAAATATCATTCACCAAGACACTATACACTTCTTAGAGGCTTAGCCTGCCAATTTCTTGGTCTCCATGTTCTTTTCCCTCCTTTAATTGACTCAACAACATTCTAAGGGCATATTCTAAGAGCATATTCACTCCTCAGGGTGGTGGGGGGTTGCTTAGAAAGAATAATGGGTAACGGGCAAATTAAAATTTCCCAGACAATATGAAGCTAGCCTGAAGGCAAAATCAGAAATGCTAGGTGGGACAGGACCTCTTTGCTTTGAGCAGTTTAAAAAGAGCAGACTTACTTCTGTAGTGGATAATCTTTTATCCCCATTATCACTACCGATTCCAGAGTCTGGGCCATGGTTTTTATTTGGATAAAAATCTTCCATACTGTAACAAAGTGGAACATTGTTATGACACATCACTCGGACTCAGATTTCAATCCGCTAACCTCTAAAGTCCTGTCCCTATACTGGCAAGATGCTCCTTTGCAAACATTCTTTACATAAACAACACAGACCCCATTAAGATGCTGCCAGGTGTCAAAAATAGATGTGGAAGAGACTATTTTGGCTGGCCTACACATTTCTCACATCAATTGAAGAGCCTTTAAAGGTTGCATAGATGGGCATCATTGTACTTTTGAAATGAGCACCCAGGTTCATTGAAAATTGTATTCCAGCAGCCTTTTGCACTTGATTTTATACACAAAGTCATAACCAGAGTTCGGAGGGCATTCTCTCACACCCTTGTATCTATTCAAAACACTGAAGGCTCAAAAACGTATTGACAAGAGTTCACCAAAAACCTATCAAGAAGAATCTCTGTACACATGCTCATATGCCCAGAACTCATTTTTCTCAGAAATAGCATACGAGGTAAATATCTTGTGGAACAAAAGAAATGCCAGAATTGTTAAAGGGTTGCCTGTTTGTCAAATGGTCCAAAGCCAGTATATCCTTTAAGATTCTATCAATGGCCTGAATATGCTCAATATATCTCCTAGTGAGTAGAACATGCTTCAGCCACCAGGAAGAGAAGCCTCTTCCTGGTTTGTTTTTCAACAGGCAAAACTCTCAGCAAGGCTATGTTTGGATCTTACAATTTCTAATCAAGAGTCAAGACTGCAGCATTTCTATATGCCATGCCAACTGCCCCAGAAGTCCTCAAAGTGCACTGTGACAGGCCTGGGAAGGGAGTTCAGAAACATGCCTTGTTTCTTTACATCAGCATCATCATGATTTGAGTATGTGCTTTAATAAAAGAATGAGGAATGTAGTTTATGGCACTGTTTATTATATGCCTTTGTTTTCACTGCATTGTTTTCTAATTTCTGTAATCCAGTTTCTGCATTTCTTATGTCATGTCCAGTACTGTTCTACTGCTTTGTTGTCTAACTTTGTAATCCAATCTTATTGCAATGCTTATTATACTCCTCCTATGGCACTGCTGAATTTTGCAGTTCATCTTGACTCTCCACAACAAAGGTGAACTATAAATAAACTTCCCCTGTTCCTCTATAATTCTGTGGGTTGGCTTTCTCCTGCATCTGTTCTGCCATCTATCCAACTGAAATGTCTAAATTTTGCTGTGGAACTGGTGAATGTAAAGATTGCTTCGATTTTGCTTCAAGTCTCTACCACCACCACAATGTTACAACTGTACAACTACATCAGGATTGCTTTTTGCATTGTGATTGAACCAATATGTATATGCACTGGGCACCCTCAGTAGCTTATGGGGAGTGACCGTAAACTGCAGCAAGCTGTATGCATGAAATAGGCCAGTGGGATTTTGGAAATTAACAATGGAACATCAGATCTCTAATGCCTCTGGAAAAAGACTAGATTATTTGGAAGCCTAAACCCAGGTAACTCTTCAGATGGAGAATTCTGTAAGCATCCCTAATTTATATCCTTAAATTATAAAGCCAACGTACAAATGACCTTGTGAAACATAGCCCTAAAAGCTCAGGATATTAAACAGTTATCTGCTCTGGGAATGTTCTCTAACAGTACTTTAATGTTACAGAAATGGAGGGTGTTTTCCCCTGAATGCCTGTAGAGATATTAGTCACTCAGCTGACTTGGCACTAGGTGGCAGATTCCCTGTTGAGCAAAAAACTGATGTTAATACTGTTTCAGAATTACCACCTTTGAGGACATGACAAATAATACCTTCAAAAAACATACTTAAAATATAAAGGATTCCTTGTTCAGCTCTGAAGTAGACCTCACAGGTGTGAAAGACTTGCCCAGACATGCCCACAGTTGAGCTGGGATGCAAGCCCAACCCTTCACCATTACTCTATCTACAACTTTCTCATTTTTATATAGCATTTCAAACCCTCTTTGCTGTAGCAATAATTACCCCACCTCACCACCTCCACTTTCCCCTCCATTATATATACACTACTCATTAGATGGTGAACAAGATGCTTTGCATTAAAGATTGTCTATCACAGATGTCATAAGGAAGAAGAAAGGGTTGTAAAGGAAGGACTGGCCACTGGTGAAAACGCAACACAGAATGGCAAGAGAAGGAGTGGTGGTTAAAAGACTTTTAAGAGTATGAATTACTTTTATGAATGGTCCCTCACAGGATGATGAAACATTTTTGATCACCTCTGCCACATGTTTTAAATTACTACAGGAACAAACTGGGTAGGAGCACAAGGACTGCAGAAATAAAAAGGGAGTCTGAACAACAGTGGCACCAGAAGGCTTGCATCCAAGGCCTGCAATAATCTAACTAAAAGCACTGAAATCATCACAATGAAAGAACAGCACTTAACAAGTTTTACATACAAATGTTGAAAAAAGGAGTTTACCTGTCTGTGAGGGGCTGAGAAGGGATTCTTTTACCCAGAGATGGCAAATCCAAAGAATCTGGCTTTTTATCTATTCTGAGGCATGCTTGAATGCTGAGGAATTTAAATATATGTACTTTGCCCTTTAAGCATACCTGTTCAGAAGCAGATGGTGGGAACATTAACATAATCAGATAAATCCAGGTTGGCAGCCATTTTGTTTTGAAGCAGTAGAACAAAGTTTGCCTCCAGTGCCACCTTTAAGACCAACAACGTTTTATTCAAGGTATGAGCTCTCATGTGCACGCACATTTCCTCAAATACACTGAAATGGAGGGTGACAGTCCATACATATAGGCAGAGGGTGACCCGCAAATTAGCATACAACATAATGAAGATGTTTTAACAGATGCAAAGACCATACAGGAATAACATATAAACTTCCTGTTTGGTCTCTGCATCTGTTAAAACATCTTCATCACATTGTATGCTAACTTGCTGGTCACCCTCTGCCTATATGTATGGACTGTTAACTTCCATTTCAATATATCTAACGAAGTGTGCATGCAAATGAAAGCTCATACGTTGAATAAAGCTTTGTTGGTCTTAAAGGTGGCTCTGGACTCAAACTTTGTTCTATAACCAGACAAAGTATTTACAAGACCCTGTTTGAACCATTAATTATCTCACCACCACCCCTCACATGCACACCTTCCACCTATTCACAATGCGTAACACAGCAATTAGCTCTGACAAACTCACACTGCCCAGATATGTGTGCTAAACATGCTATGCCTGCAGGACAAAGAAAACAAGGCAGGCCGTATTGATCTACTCCAATGGCCAGTTCAGCTGTTGACTTTTCCTACACTTGTACAGCATGGACGAAGATATTAAATAGGATCAGACAGCTCGTCCTCTTGTTAGGCTCCTCTACATCTTGGTGATTCATGTGTCACATACACTTCAGAAGCTGTGCAACAGTTTTCCAATTTACAAAGACAAGTACGAAACATGTTCCTTCTCTTCCAGCTATAACCCTCCAAGCAGATTAAAACCAACACTGAAAAGCAGCCAGATACAAAGGGTGCTTTTCCAGATGGCTTTGGGCCAAGAATGGTCTATTTCCTTAATGCGTAGGAAGCTGGCTGAATAAGCAATCTCTCACAAACCCTCTCCACTGAAGAAAATTAAATGGTTTTAACGAACCTGTGCTGGTGGTAACTGCATTGGATTGTTATCCAAAATTATCACTTGCAAATGACGCAGTTTCCTGTAACAGACTGGTATCTCTGTGATTTTATTACAAGAAAAGTCCAGTTTTACCAAGGGAAGGTCTCCTAATTCTGTTAGAAAGAAAGATCAGAGACTCAGACACTGCAACAGATTTACATTTTTACATGAACAAGGAAGCTTGGAGGGGAAGCTTACCATCAGGTAGTATATGCAGATTATTTCTTCTTAAATTTAATTCTCTAAGTGACTGCAGTTTTCCTATTTGTTGTGGAAGGACCTGGATTTCATTGCAACTAATATCCTATGCGAAGAGACAAGGAGTTAGAATGCCAAATAGCTTGAATGCAATTTTAAGAAGCAGCCATAAGAAAATGGCCCAAGCAAACCATGTCGGAGTGTGATGAGGATGCTACAAGGCCCTGGTTTATCATTCCAGTATTCATTTAGGTTACAACAATCCTCTGCTTTGTAACAGAAGAGAGAGCAGAGGACCTAATCCAAGGCAAACTTTTTCAAATTTAAGGCATTTATTCAATACTCCAGCAGATGACAGCATGCTGCTGACATGGGATTCCACTAGTATTGTAGAAAGCAAATGGGTATAAAGTAGGCTCCTTTATGAATATTAAGTGTCAAAGATACAGCATATTACTGTCAAGTTAATTCCTAGGATTTTGCAATAGCATGGTTTTAAAAGTGGAAGTGTCAAAGCAAAACCTGCCCCTTGCAGAGGCATACATTCCATATGATAAATGACCTCACAAATCCTCTAAGGGAGACTTAAACGCGTTGATGATAATCTACCTGAGAATTCATGATTAATTCTACCTATGGGTCAACATAGTCCTCACTGCAAGATCAAACTAGCACTAAACCTTCCAAATACACAGCATTTTGTTTTGGTCTCAAGTTGCAAGTTATAGCAAAGGATGAAGCAAAACTAAAAGGTGTCCTTTAAAAATTAAATGAAGCTCCCATCCTTCACTACTACCAAAATCCATTCAAGTACAGAGATGAAGGTTCATCCTAGGATACTGAAACAGAGAGAGCCTAAATTGTAAGGCTTCTGTATGAATTAACATTAGGCTTCCTACTAAATGAAAAGGTCAAGAAATTAACTCGAAAGGTCAAGTGGAGAGACTGACACTTACCAATTCCATTAAGTCTCGCAGCTTCCCAATTTCTTCAGGAATGGACACAAGCTTATTATTGCTGACAACTAAAACCTTAAGTGGCAGATCAAACAGGTATTTTGGCAAGGTTGATAAAAGATTTCGACTAAAAAGATGAGAGAGATTATGTGGTTAATATCTAGCAACTATCAATTATTTAACACACACAGCGCTATCCACAAACAACTTAAAATAAGAACATTTCCTTCTAAACTGACCTGATATTACTTCCATATAAATCAAACTGAAGTGGCTGGCAGTTGACAACTAAATGACTGCTTAAATGTCTTTGTAGAAAAACACAGCTTAGATGCTCCTTCCTTTATAAACACAGAAAACTCATCCAAATCAAGTTGTGGTCTGTAATTCAATCTGGTCCATCTATCTTGAATGCAGACAGAGGATGATCCAATATGTATCATCAGTAAGTCTCACCCTGGGACCAAATACAGCATTTTTTATTCAAGAGCACAAAGTTCCATTTGGGGTCAATAATGGAACCAGGGAGGGGGGCACTAAGTGCGTAACAGATTTTTCCTGTTTGGGGGGGAAGTGATTTTGCAGGTGGTTTCAGGGTACCCGAGTTAACACCACCATGAAGAAAAATGAGATAAAATGCATCCCACCACCATCGCCCCAGTTTTGTCGCAGAGCACTAATAAGAACGGTCTGCTTAGCGTGTAACAGTTTCTTTCGCTCTATTATACATAGCGTCTGATTTCCACAGAACCAGATAAAATATGCTGACTGAATTTTCAAACATTTTAATTCTCAGTAAGACACCAGATACAGAATAGAGTTACAAAGTATCCAGCATCCAAGAACAGACCACAGCTACATGAACACAGCAAAGGTAAATCACATGGCAAATATGGAGATAAGGATCTCACAGGGCACCAATCAATATCCACTACCACCCTAAAATACCTTCAACAAATGCTTCTCTAATCATACATCAAAGCCACCCAAAGGTTATTTCCTAGGTAGCCTAGTCCACAAGTTGGCAAATTTAGGAGTTTTGAAACCTTTCTTAATTTTGTCTCCAATTAAATTTTTTGTAACTTACATTCAGTACTTTATCCTGCCCTACAAAATGTGTTCATCCCCCCCCCCACACATTTGCAGCCCTGCCAGTCTTGCTTGTATGTATCATTGTTGTCGCTCTCCCTTGTAGCCTTTTCCTCCAAAAACATGGAATGGGATCCACATTTTCAAACACTCCCACAAGAACAGCTAATATCACAAAATATTTTAGATTAATTGTCACAACCCTAGTATGAATAGGGAGTTTTAGGTGGGTAGCCGTGCTGGTCTGCTGCTGAAGAGCAAGATTCCAGTCTAATAGCACCTTAAGGACCAACAGGCACAGTAGCGCCTTAAATACCAACAAAACTCAGGATATTCAGAACAGTGGGCATCCCACCAGGGCTGAATTTGTATCTTACTATAGGTGCTAATTTTCTCCCCCCCCCAAAAAAAAAAAATTCTCCCCTGTTCTAATCATGCTGATTACACTTTGCATTTGTACCTTGGCATCCTGATTCCCTTTGCAACACCCCTCCCACCTTCTGACTGGAATATAAGGGCTCAAGGACCTCCATTCCTTCTTGTAACCGACTATGGGAGCTTTGATTCTTGAAAGCTTATACCCTGGAAATTTTGTTGGTCTTTAAGGTGCTACTGGACTCTAATACTGCTCTTGTGCATAGGGAGAAACTCTCTGGCAAACAGAGTTAAAGAATAAAACACAGCTGACAAAGCCATTATAGAGAATCACTCAGTTTTCACCAGTTTACAAAAACTGGCTACTGAAACACACACACACACACACACACACACACTATAGCTAGCAGTTCCACCATGCCTGATAACTGAGTCACACAGAATTGCTTTTTCTACATATGCATTTCTGGAACAGTAAAAAAAAAATGACTGCTGTTGTGTATAATAATCCAAGACTAATTTGCCAGTTGTACATATACTAGAAGCTGCTATGACATCTGCATGTAACAAAAGATAACTTAATATACAATGCTCATTTTTACACCCATGTAAGAAAGGTGACATATGCACATTTGCACACAGCCTAAACAAAACTAAAAATGGCATACACTGAAGGTACCACACACTCACACCCCATCACCAACGTTCTTCAGAAAAGGTAGTTTTTCCAGTACCACCATCAGTCCCAGTCATTATTCATAAGCATGCAAGATCAGCAAAGCTCTTTCAGCATTAGTTAATTCCCAAATGCTGTAACTGAACAAACTTTTACCTTCACATGTCAATCATCATCATCTGAAACAGGAACACCAGGAATAAAATTAGACATTGGCAACGTCTGATTTACAAACTGGAAAACAGTCTTCCAGGAAACTCTTCTATATAGAAAGTCATGGATAATTGAAGCCCTGATGAGCTGGAATATCTAACAATTAGATCAGATGGATAGAAAAGATTACCGACCTGATATTCAGATATGTTAGCATCTGCAGATTTTTAATTGCTTCAGGGATTGATTTGATGCAGTTGTGATACAAGTTCAGTGTCTCAAGTGGCGCAAACTGCCACACATCTGGAGGAATTTCAGCAAATCTGTTCTTGGAAAGGTCTAAAAGGGAGAAAACCTCTAAGGGTCAGTACTGTACTACGTTGAAAAGATGTACAAGAAATGTGTTACCCTTACAGTATGATCAAAGCTTTAGTGTAATTGTTCAGAAATTTGATCCTACACAGTAAACTAATGCTAGATCGAACACTTAGCATTGAGGATGGAAGGAAATTTGAGCTCTGCTTTGTTTCTTTGCAATTCTGAAAAGGGAGGTCCCTCTCCACAAACTTTTAGAATGATCAAGTAGGCAGGATAGCCTTCTGGAACTGGCTTCCTGAGACTCTGGTTTAAGAGCAGGTGCTGCTTCCTCATGCTAACCCAACCTCTTCAGCAGCACAGTGTGATATAACCTTTAAAAAACAGCTGTTCTCTACTCTGTCCTGATTAAACAAAGTCTCCTTAGAACCCCTGTATTCTATCTCCATCTCCAATGGAAATAAACCTTCACCCATTGTTACTCTCCCTCACTTTAACCCACTTAATTATCCCTGCCTCTCTCTTTCTTCTGCCAAGGCTAAAACTTAGGGCAAAACTGAACATGCCACAAGGGCCCACTCCTGACTGGACTCACAATGCAGCAGGCTGAGGCACTCTTGTTACCTCCCCACACACACACCTTACCAAGTGCTGAAACAGCTGCAAACTCCACAGCGACCATTTCGCCACTTGAAAAGGTACAGGAGGAAACAAGAGTGCTGAACTGCAGCATTTTAAATGACTTTAAAATGGCAGAGGCATCCTTGTGGCAGCCACGAGGACACCATCACATCTAGTTTGGACCTCAGACTGCAAACTGCCTGGGACTTAGACAATAGTTTGTTGTCTTTTAACAATGCAGTCCTCAACCGGTTAAACCCTTCAAAGCATCCTCAATGGACTCAGGGGGGTGTAACACTGGTAAGGACTGCAGTATAAATTCTGTAAAACTATATATCATACCATTATGAAGGTATTCTGCTGCAACTGCTAGGTTAAAATATTTGTGATGTATCAGTGACAAAAGAAGAGTAATGAGGCAGCTTAAAAGTAACAGATGCTCGTTGGAATCCTATGCAGTTACTATAGTCTTTGAAATCAATGGGCTTAGACTGGAGAAGCCCTGCATAGGATTGCACCATTATTTTATCCTAAGCTTGCATGAGTACCCTTTGTCAGACGCCGACGCCAAAGGAACTAGGCTATACAATGCCCACATTGTCTATGGAGATAAAATCAGCTGTGTGCAGCCTTTCAAAACATTTCTTGAAAGCAATTTGTAGATATTTTTCTACCAGGCCTTCTAATCAGTAAACCAACTCAAATGAGTAACAAAGAGAGAACCAGCTACAGAAGTAAGCATCCCTCAACACTAAATTCTAGATAAATAACTGCGGCCCCAGTCACACGGGAGGATCTGCCCGGCGAAACGGACAGGTTGAGGGCAGATTAAACTGGTGGGATCAGATGCCAACATCTGGCAAGCGTCGCGCCCCCGCCCCCAACCCGTTGCTACCGGCTGAAAATGCAGATTTAAAAGAGACCTGCAAAAGACTACTACTTACTGGGAAACACGCAGCATGGGCAGCCGTGTGATCGCCGACATGCCCGTAATCCCGTGGTATGCGAGGTCCTGCCACACTGCGCATGCACACAACTGCGCAGCTGCCTCGCCTCTCCCTTCGTCCCATTGCTTCCCCCTCGGCATGTGATCGTGTCGCCTCTCCCTTCGTCCCATTGCTTCCCCCTCGGCATGTGATCGTGTCGGGGAGCAAAGGCGGCGCGGCTTGGGGGATCTGTCCGATGCTTCAATTTGCTGCGGCTCTAAAAAGCCGCACTTCTGCCATGGCTTTTCTCACTAGTACGACCGGGGCCAAATATTACTTCTTTGGTTCCACCTTTTTGTGCTTTGCCACATGAACACATGTGAACAAAAGCAAACCCCAAAGGCTGATTAATACTTCCCAAGGCGACAGTGTTTCCTTCCCTGTCTGCAGAATAATGCTATTACTTCATCCTACCACAAAAAAGGGGAAGCTGAATGGAAAAATCAGTACTTTTCTGTCTCACATACTAAAAATGCATTGCCTTGCTTAGAGTTACAAAGAATATCTGCAAGAGGGCATATTATGGAAAGGGAAACACAGTATAATAATCTGCCAGTTAAATGCAAAAACAGTGGCTTGTCTGTAAACACAGCCCTTATGATAAAAGGAAAGCAAACTCAATAAGAATAAAATTAAATACATAAAAAAACCCAGTCTAGAATTTTTACACTACACATTTCTACACTACAGTTACAACTAAACAAAGCACCTTAGGTTTGTTCACTACTACAAGCATTGCAATATTTTAAGTATCCAGAACTTCTTATGCTAGTGGCATTTAATTTCAAAGGAGGAAACTTAGGACGTAACTAACAGATGTAAGAGATCCATGATCAGTTCATCCCAGGTCTTGAATTTCATGTTTAAAACAGCTGGGGCGGAAACCACAATTTAGATCAGGACCATGGCATAGGGGAAGGGTGGGTAATACTTTGTCCCTTGCTGTTTCCTGGTTCAGTGAAACCAATTTCTAACCAGGAAACAACACAAAATGAAAGGATCCACATGTCATGGATCCAGGTCAAAAAGTACCCTGCATCACTTTTAACTAAAATAAAAGGAGCTAAGAGATTCAATCACAAATTTCCCCACGTCTCTTCCTAGTTATAGCCTCAAACATCCTCAAGACACTTGGAAGCTGGACCACAATAATAAGCAGCAGATACAATGTACAAAGATTACGAAAAGTCTAACAGAAGGCCAGCAAACATAGTTAACGAGCAGTCAAGAAAGTTATGAAAGGCAGGAAGGCCTTTTTTTAAAAAAGGAGGTACAGAGCACAAATGCCGACAACACAAAGAGCTGACAATAAGAATTTGAAGAACATACTGCAAGGAACAAGGGAATTTTTAAAAAATTAACTTCATTCAGGAGCAGGAAACCAGCTAGACAGGCAGCAGTGGAACAGGCTTCCTCAGGAGGTGGTGGGCTCTCCTTCTTTGGAGGTTTATAAACAGAGGTTAGATGGACGTCTGACAGCAATGCTGATTCCATGAACTTAGGTAGATCATGAGAGGGAGGGCAGGGAGGGTTGCATCAGTGCTTAGTTCTCGTGGCCCTACCTCACAGAGGTAAAGGGAAAGGGAGAGGTAAAGGGAAACGAGACTGTAAGCTGTTCTGAGACTCCTTCAGATGGTGAAGGGCAGGGTATAAATTCAATCTCTTCTTCTTCCTTATACACCCAGGGAAATGCCGATCGACACTTTGGGTCAGTTTGGCCAGGGTTCCTGGAGGGTTTTTTGCCATTTCAGGGCATGGAGCAGAGCTCACTGGGGCGTGTGAATTTCCTGCATTGTGCAGAGGGTTTGACTAGATTACCCTTTATGATTCTATGATTATATATGTACAAGTGGAGACCCGCAAGAAACTTGCGGGATGGTTATCCTATTCCTCACGCCTTTGCTTCCTCCTGTCTCCCCCTACCTCTCTCACATTCTTTCTCCCTTCTGCCCCCCCTTTCTTTCTTTCTCTCTCTCCATGTATGGTTTGGAGGGTGGAGTCTATGGCATTATACTGGTCTGTAGTTTCTCCCCTCCTCAAATCCCACCCTCCCCAGGCTCCACCCCTCAAATGTCCAGGAATTTGCCAACCTGGAATTGGCAACACAATTTCCTTCCCACCCAACCTACCTTTATCTGCCTCTCTGTCTTCAACTTTCCGTCTCCACACCCCTCCCCCACAGCCTCTACCTAGGAAAGTTACAGTCTTTCTCCACAGTGGGGACCAAAGCAGCTTACATTATTCTCTCCTCCTTTTTATCTGCACAACAACCCTGTGAGGTTGGCTAGGCTGAAAGTATGTGACTGGTCCAAAATCACCCAGTCAGCTTCCACCGCAAGATGGGGATCTGAACCTGGGTCTCGCAGACCCTAATCTGAAGCTCTAACTAATGCACCACACCGGCTCTCATAGGGTGGCTGCTGATGAACAGTAGCAAGCAGCTGGGCCTACTTGAGTCATGCAAATCAGGTGGTATCAAGTCACCCAGACGGTGCTGCCTAGGGATGCCAGCCTCCAGGTGGGACCTGGGGATCCCCTGTAATTCCTGCTCATCTCCAGACTACAGAGATAACTTCCCATGGAGAAAATGGATGCTTTGGAGGGTGGACTCTGTGACATTGTACCCCACTGAGGTCCCTGTCCTCCCCAGGCTCCACCCACAAATCTCCAGGAGTTTCCCAGCCTGGACCTGGCAACCTTATCCACAATCCCCTGTC